CACCATTTTAATCCATAGGCCAGTTCTTCTTAAATGTGGCCACTTTTTAAAGTTCTGTGGGCTTCCATTCCCAGCAGGCTGGGTGGGTGGGCAATTCTGGTTGTCGAAGCCTGCATAACTTAAAAACAGCCACCTTTGAGAAGTACTGGTCTGTTATTATACTGCACCACCACTACTACTACTACTACTACTACTACTACTACTACTACTACTACTACTACTACTACTACTACTACTTTTTCCTCCCCCTCCTTCTCCCCCTCCCCTTCCCCTTCTTCTTCTTCTTTCTTCTTCTTCTCTTCTGCCATATCCATCACCGGACATTGGCAATCATGTTGGCGATCCTATGGTTCACATAGGAAAATATTCCAAGTCATAAAATAATCCAATTTTTTTTTTAAAAAAAACCTACATATTATAGCAGCATTCCCAATACTTTTTCACACTTGGGACCAGTTTCTGGAAGACAATTTCTCAACCGATTTAGTGAGGGTGGAAAGGGACGGTTTAATGTGCTACCTATATCTTGTACATGTGAAGACACAGCTTCCCTCACTTCTGTCAACCACTTCTGCGGACCAGTACTGGTCCGCAACCTGAGAGTTGGGAACCTCTGTGTTATAGGATAAACAGTTATCACCTGGAAAACAGAGGATATTTAGTTGGATTGAGCTCCCATAGAAAATTTCCCTTTCCCATTAACCCAATGGATTCCTGCCTTAGAAAAGTACATTATCAAGAGACCAGAACATTTGCATAAAACAGAAGCATTTCTCTTCAGAAGAATTGCATTTCCTGCCATTTAAAAAAAAAAAAACTTTAAAAAAAGGTGGCACAGTGGTTAGAATGCAGCACTGCAGCTAATTCTGCTGCCTGCTGGCTGCCTGCTATTTGGCAGTTTGTATCTCATCAGGCTCAAGATTGACTAAGCCTCCATCCTTCAGAGATCAGTAAAATAAGGACCCAGATTGTTGGGGCAATATGCTGACTCTGTAAACTGCTTAGAGAAGGCTATATAAAGCGCTGTGAAGCGGTATATGTCTAAATGCTATTGCTATTTTGCATTCAGTGGAAAGAACAATATATTTATAAGATAGCAGGTTATTATGTTTACACACACGCGCGCAACTCAACACAACCTTAAAACAGTTGTTCAAAAACAATTATGATCGAAGGTTGGTTTGAGCATCTCAAGCTGGCTTTCTTTATTTGCTCGTTTTCTCACTTTGCAGGCATTTTCAACCACGTTGCCTCCTTGAACGCTCCATCTGCTGCCTATGAAAGAATATGAACGCCTTGGTCAACAAGAGACCAAGCACAATTATACAGAAGCTTTCTCTCAACAAAAAGGTTGCCTCATTCCTGCTTCTCCTGTAACAATGCATCTCAGCATCTCCAGGGCATTGCTCAGCGATACTTATATTTTTTTGGCTCACTTTTCAAAACTATTGTCTTGTGTTTTACAGAGATTTCAGTGACTAGGAGTAATTTTGATAATTAGCTTGCTTGCCAAGTAAGGCTTTGAGTATCACTTATAGCAGTGTTTCCCGACCTTAGTCACATTGAAATATGTGAACTTCAACATGCTGGCTGGGGAATGTTGGGATTTGAAGTCCACACATCTTGAAGTGATTAGGGTTGTGAAACACTGACCTATGGCCTGTCAAGCATGTTTGGGGAAAGGTTCTGGAGCATGGGCAACTTTTTAAAATCAGGCCCTATATTTACAGCTCCCAAAGCTCACTCTGTCCCTAAAACTATGCTACCAAAATATGTTGGCAAAATTGTGATTTTAGGTGGCAAAATTACCAGTGGCTTTTAAGAGATCTGCTAGGCCTGAAAGGGTTTAATTTCTCCTCATCTTCAGCTCGGAAGGGTGGCGAGACTCTACCTATCTTCTAGGGAATTCTGGGAGTTGAACTCTTAAAGTTGTTAAGATTGAAAATACTGCTCATGGTACCATGTGAATCATCTTTAGTGTTTCACAATCAGGATTGCTTCAATAGTTCTTTTCTTCTGGAATTACCATCCTCTGTTCACTCACTTTTCAAGAAGTGTCCAATCATTTCATTTTCAAATTATTCCATTCCAATGTATTCTGATTTATGGGGTTTTTTTTTAATATGAATGCTTACAATAGCCATGTTTAGGTTGCATAAGATTGACTTTGGATGTTGTTCGGGTATCTTAAATTAAATAATGCCTCTGTTCAAGTTCTGCATTTTATTTTTACCCATTGGACAACCCATAGCAAAAATTAGCACACAATAAGAAAGGAGAGTTTCCTTTAGAGGCTTAAAATTCTACTTTTGAGTCCGTGGGAGTAAATGAGTAACAATGAATTGTGTGCAATTTCCTTCTAAACAAATATAGGAATACCAGAAGCTTTTCTTCTGCTTTATTAATTACCGGTACAAAGATATATAGGGAATAAAGCAATCAGTCTGTAGGTAATAAAGCAATTACACAAAAATGCACTGTGCTGCAGCAGAAATTACTTTTTCTTCTACTAATCCGGAGCTGAAGAGTTTTCTAGTCACTTTAGTGGGCTTCCATAGTGACTCCTGGGGGGGGGAATCAAACAATTCCATCAGACAAGAGCAACACTGCATATGGGGAAGACCCACAACCATGATGCATCTTCACACTGCATACACATCCCATAGCGGTAAGCTTGCAATGCCATACAGCAATGGGGATGTCATTGTGGCAAATCAGCCAAAGCCATAGATGCGCACACTGGGCATACATCCCAATGGAAGGAACATGCCAACCAAGCTTCTTCAGAACTTCTAGAACACTGGGGTTACTATGGAAATGTTGTCCTGCTTTGCTACAGTACATTTCTCAAGAAAGGTTCCGAGTGAAAACTTTGTAATCTGAAAGACGTAGTTGTTCCCGTGAGGATGTGGGTTCTGTACAGTTCATCCACAAGGAAGTACCTCCCGAGGTTCAGAAGAGAGCGCATTCGGTCTTGATCCTTCCATTGATCCATCATTATGAACCGCTACAAGAACTCCCTTTCCAAGTGGCCCGTCATTGTGTGGTTCAAGAACTTGAAGGCTTATGACTGGGTCCGCCTGGGTGGGATCTTCTTCTCTTGCATAGCTACTTGTCTACTGATGACAGCCATCAGCACAGAGTACTGGGTCAAAAGATTCGTCCGGGGCATCTTTGTCTTCCGAGGACTATGGACAGATTGCCAACTAGGGAAATGTTCCTTTCTGAAAGAAATACCATGTAAGGGTTATGGAATCTTCAGAACTTTGAAAGTGTTGCTGCTATAAAAGTCCAGGTTGCGCCACTACTCGGTTTGAGGAGGCCCTGTTCAGAGTCTTCCCTTGGCCCTTTTTCCTCTCTGGACTGCTCCCCCATCTGTCATTATTCTTTCACTCAGCCATGGAAAAGGAAGAGATGCCAGCTTGCCTCTGAGCTAGCATGCTCTACAAAAAGAATGGGTAGCCAGCCAAATGGTCATGACTCTATATCAACCCAGCCACTCCGTGTTTAATAATTCACTTGAAATAACCTCCAGGTTTTCTAGGAGGGTTTTGCTGGGGATAAAAGATTTTTTTTAAAGCCCCAGAGCAACAGATGGAACTAATCCAACTGATTATTGGTTTGGATTGAGGTGGCGGATACATTTCACAAATAAATGTACGGGTAATCCTCAACTTACAACCAGAATTGGGATCAGAAGTTCTATCGCTCTAAGTGCTGCAGATGTTAAGTGAGTTACACCTTATTTTAGGACCAATTTCCCGTGGTTGTTAAGCGAATCATTCAGTTGTTAACCAAATCTGGCTTCCCCTCCCTTGATTTCGCTTGTTGGAAACCCCCAGGGAAAGGTCATGAATGGCAATTGAATGATCCTGAGACAATCATAAATACATGTCAATTGCCAAGTGTCTGAAATTTTGAACATGTGACCATGGGGAGGCTATGACAATCATGTCACCTTTTTCAATGCTGTTTTCAGTTTGAATTGTTGTTAATTGAATGGTCGTAAGTCGAGGACTACTTGTAATAACAGTGAAAGCCTTGGACTGGAGCACAGACTGGAGCCCAGGCGAATGTTCTCTGTTAACAATGGAGTTTAGTGGGCAACATGGGTGAATCTTTTTCAATCCAATCTACCTTAGAGAATAGTTTCAGGGATATGATGAGAATTGTCCTCTCTCCAAAGACACCCACCACTCTTTGCTTAGAGAAAATGTGGCAAAGAATCACAATAAATAAGTATATCAGTAAAAATCAGGAATTAGAAGCAGTCAGAGATGGCTGTGAGGGGGGGGGGCATGAGCAAAAGATAGATGCTTGCCTTGTTCAATGATATTGGAAGTGGAATCCGATTATCCATGCTGCCTCCTTCTCAGAACAAGAACTTTTAAACAAAAAATTATGCAGTCACTGCTTTTTAACATGTTGCTAGACTCTGGTATAGAGGCACAGCTGCCACAACCTTCATCTCATGTTTATAACATGCAGCTTTTGGTTCCTCTATTGTCACACACTGCATTGCAATATAAAGGCCCAAGACTTCCAGGTTCTGATAAGAAAGAAAACAGCCAGAATACTGAAATATGGAAGGTGATCTGACCCAACACATCTCTCCTTGTTTACTAAACAAGACATATTTCTTTCTTCCTCGGATGAGCTCTGAAGAAAGAACATCAGTGTGTATCATGTTTTCAAAGTACACCTATTGAACAATTAGGCAGAAGGTTCCAACTATTACCTACAGTGCCACTTACATGCCCATTTGGTAAATCTCTGGGCCAATCTTTGTTTTAAGAGATACACCTATATGTAACCGTATAGCAATCAGTTCTTCTGACATTTTAAATAAGGAGTACAATAAGGCTCAGCTGGTGTTTAGTTTAGTGGTGGCATAAACCAGGGGGGGAAATCCAGTAAATTTCTTCTTAAAGTCCTAAACTTGCTGATAATCAGTTTATACAATATTTATAGTCCTGCCTACTTCTCTGTGAGTCTTTATCTCCATCTGCTGGTTAGTTGTTAACATTCAAGTAAGGAGGCATTAGAAATTCATTCTGCAACTTTCGGTGGTGACTCTATTCAATAGGTCCCTATTGTTAAACCAGAGGTGTTAGCAGCAAACTGATTACTTCAAAATGACATAGATATGGGGACATCATGGCACAATCCCCATCCTTATGTCCTCCTGATCTCTGACATAAATACACAAATCACAGCTTCGGCATTATCACCTCCCAAGCAACATTTCATCATTAGCATGTCCTCTGGGGACTTGAACCTGATTCCCCATTGCAGCAACTCTTCACCATGCATATTCTCTTCTGGGAAGCTTTCAAAAGAGCAGCAAGAATCACCCAGTATTTCCTAAAAGCTCCCAAATAAGATTTCCACTTGGCCTAGAAATCCACAGCATTTCTGCAGGCAGAAATTGATCCTCAGGTTGAAAGATAAAGGAACAAAGGTTGTGGGTGCTCCATCACTAGAGGTTTTTAAGAAGAGACTGGAGAGACATTTGTCTGGAATAATATTGGGCCTCCTGAGCAGGAGGTTGGACTAGAAGACCTCCAAGGTCCCTCCCAACTCTGTTATTCTGTTAATCAGATCGAAAGCTGCAGGCTGTGGTGATTCTAGAAGGTGATTCTAACTTGATTTTTCACGATTTGCTGCTTTTCTTTTTCTCTTAGTCTATATTACCGTCTCCATCATTTTAATGCTGATCTCTGCTGTAGCTTGCTATGGAGCCGTGATCTATGGCACACGTTCGCTCGCTGCCACTGAGACATCACAGAAGCTCTCCCACTCTGACTTAGCCATCACTTTGAGTTTCTTTTCAGGTAAGAAAAACAAGGCACACACACACTGTTTCATTTCCCAAATGTCGTTAACAAGATGGAACTGATGTTAAACTAGCTTCAATCTCAAAAGGAGGAAAGACAGTACTGCACAAACTCAGAACCTGAAGACTCAATTCCATCCTTTCAAATGAGGTACAAGTCATAGACAGATCCCGCTAAGCTGAATTCACATCCTCAATTGCATTGGTGATGTTTGATTTGGGTTTAGCAAAACCAAACTATTTAGAAATTGTGGATATTTGCAGCTGTTCAAAAAAAGCAGTAAACAAAAAATAAGTGTGAAAGGAAATGACACCCCCACTCCTGCCCAAGAGTTATGGGGAAACACTGTGAACAGAAGACACGTAATTATGATGGAGTGTTGGTGGGAGACTCAAAAATGAAAATGGTATTAGATGGCCAGAAAGTTGAACCACAACCATCTTTTATCCCAGCTTACACTCCTGCGGTTTCCCCTTTCCATATCCAGTTTTGGTAAGCATGATTATTGTGGCCAATCGAAAAAGTCAAAATCCTGACAATCTCGGGATAAACTAACCACTTTGGGATCCAACTTTTACAGACCTCATTTCTTGACCTACATCCCTTTTTGTCTTTCAGGCTGCATAGGAGGACTCGGGCTGTTCAACTTCATGAGATTCTCAACTGATGAGCCCAATACCTTCCTCTCCTGGTCAATGATCCCAGGATGGTTATCCATCATGGTAGCTGCCATGGCAGGTATGAGAAGCAGAGTAACAGAATAACAAGAGTTGAAAGAGACCTTGGAGATCTTCCAGTCCAACTCCACTGCTCAAGCAAGAGACCCTATAACATTTCAGACAATGGTTGTCCAATCTCTTCTTTAAAACCTCCAGTGTTAAGAGAACCCATCACTTCTGGAGCCAAGCCATTCCACTGGTTGTTCTCACTGTCTCCTTAGTTCTAAGTTGGATCTCTGCTTAGTTTCCATTTATTGCTTCTTGTCCTGCCTTCAGGTGCATTAGATAATAGGCTGACCTCCTTTGTGGCAGCTCCTTAGATGTTGGAACACTGCTATCATGTCACTCCCTAGTCCTTATTTCATTAAACTAGCAGCAAAAATCAGAATAAAGGCCAAAGGTGAAAGGAGGGAAGAGGCCTGCACAAAGCCAAGCAGAGAATGCTTACAGGAGAACCTCTTTTTTTTGGTAATTCTTATGTAACACTTAGCTCTTCTTCAGGTTTTAGTACTCTCTTGAGGGTTCCACCACAAAACCGCGGTAGACAAAAGTGCGCTCGATGAAAGCGCGTACATGACGTCATCACAGCGCGACGAAAACATCGCGCTATGATCGATAAATGTAAAATTAAAGCGAAAACCTTACCCTAACCCCCCCAAACCTAACCCTAACCCTTAACCTAAACCTAACCCTTAGCCTAACGCTAAACCTAACGCTAAACCTTAACCTAACGCTAAACGTAACCCTAACGCTAAACGTAACCCTAACGCT